TCTGAGGGGGAGATCAATACCCCCCCCCCCCCCACGTGACAGGCTCGCAGGCGGAAAGCCTCTCCGAAATAGTACAACAGCCAGTTTCCGGAGAGGTCTTCTCTAACGCCCGGGCCTAGATCACCCGGAGCGATTTTGATGGGTAGTCCCCCGGCCGTTTGTTTAGCCGGGAGTGAGCCCCACATAATTTCGCCTCGAACCCCATCGAGGCGGGGTATGCGTAAAGGCATTTCCTCTCCGTCATAAAAAAAAGGCTTGGACGAGCTTCAAAAGCGGCGCACAGTGGACCGGATCCAGATCTAGGCGGCCAAAATGTGAAGATTATTAAAAAACTTGATTTGTTATCAATATAAATTTTTTGGACCCACAATTCAAATCTATGTTATTGATTTTCTTTTATTTTTATTTGATATGATCCTGAATGTGAGGAATTAAGAAATTACAGTTTTTGAATTGGATTTTGTTTTACTCTCATTCATAAATTCATCTTATACGATATTTATATTCAAATCATTGTTCTCCAAACAGTACTAATCTCTTTACGAGAAGACAAGCATCAGTAAGTGAATAGTAGAGGAATATTTGTTTCGGTTGCTTATAACATATATTTTCTTACCTTTAGCGTGATTCAGGACAAACGACGAGGACATAGGAAGATGTAGTCTCATGTTCTTTTTTTTCCATCCTTTTTCACATTTTTTAAATTTAAAAAAGGTTTTTTTTTTAGGTTTTACATTTTTTTAATAATTTTATTTATAGATATATTTTATTTTTGGGTGTAGTTCCGAAAAATACTCACTCCCGATTTTTTTGAAACTCAGTATTCTTACGTATTTTGATGCGCTGATTACGAATATCATAGTGAAAATTGGCGACTATTTGATTTTCATGGTGAAAACCATTAATAACCCATAAAAATTATAGTTTTTTACGCTTATCTCAGTAAATACGAAAAATCATGATAAATGTTTTAGACGAAAGTTTTAGATCTCACAGAGATAAACATTTTATGTCCTATTCATTTTTACCGTACGAGTGATAGTTTTCGACAAAAACAATGGACTCTAAATCTTATATCTGTCCTCCCATCTAAGCATGTACTTTGCAGTACATATACAATTCCACATGGGTTTGCAACTTTCCACGCAAACCTATTTGTCTAGTTCTCTGGTAGTAGAGCCTACTGTTTCCACGCATACACTTTTCCACGCGAAGCGAGGTTCCACATGGGTTTGCAACTTTCCACGTGAGATAAGCGTAAAAAACTATAATTTTTATGGGTTTTTCATGGTTTTCACCATGAAAATCAAATAGCCGCCAATTTTCACTATGATATTCGTAATCAGCGCATCAAAATACGTAAGAATATTGAGTTTTAAAAAAATCGGGGGTGAGTACTTTTCGGAACTTTATCCCTCAGCTCCATACGCTTAGACTGGACACACATTTTTTTCCAACATTAAGAGGTTCACCATCTGTTTTTTCTTACTATGGTGTCACTCGATTGCTCGCGCCTGCCTCCACCATTTTGCCTAAGAACAAAATTAAGCGGCCGTGTAATGAGCTTAACCCACGCGGAATCTTACAGTCATCTGCAATCCATTGGATAATCTTATAAACTCTTTATAATGTTAGTATAAGTTTAGTTGCGTTCTGGATGCATTACTCTGCCTCACGAGGTCTTTCTTTACATTAATATTAGATCATTACCATTGATAAGGACCCGAAGTGGGCCGAAACGTTTGGTTTTTGTCATTTCATAATGTTTATTTGCGAATTTATGTCGTGTCCATCAACACCTTTTGTTAAATAAACAGCACACAATTTTTAAGCAATAAATACCACGTCCGGGCTCCTATTGGCCTTTCCCTCTTTGATTTATTGATATTCATCATTTGAGCCTTGTGTTTTTAAATTTTTCATTGTTGTATAAGAGACATATTTTTTTATAAGTGCTCAATTTCATTTTAAGGATTGAAACACTGTCTTGTAACAAATACGATATTCGTCTTTCTGATTGAACATCATCAGTAAAAAGTATTAAAAAATGAGTAATTATTTACATTAGGGCCGACTTCACAGATTTCAATGACCTACATATATATTCATTCTTATTATCAAGGATATAGCCCTGAATAACTTTCAAAAGGTTTTCGCCGTCATTCGCACTTTATTAAAAAGTTATAAACAAAATAAGTTTAATGGATAAAACGTAATTTTTGTGACTCCATATATGTTTAAGAAGGAATATATTATATATTTGTGGGGTACGTTCCAAAACTGAGAGAAAACGTTCATATTTCCTCCATTCATATAAAATTCTCACCTGCATTTTGTGCGAGTGAACTGGAAGGAATTGAATGGCGGGAAAAGGAAAATTAAAGGTTGAATTATGTTTGTGATCTAAGTTGTTTCATAGTGATAACAGAATGGATAGCATTCCACTTATATTTGAATTTAACATAGAGGATTATATACCCGTAATAAATGCAACAAATAATAATCCTATAAAAACAAATAAAGAACATATCTTTCTGTTTGATAAGATACGTAAGTATCTGTATTTATGTGTAACTTTTCGTTCATAATTTAATATTATGTTTAATTTTATTTAATGTTACTTTGTTGAATTGTGTTTATAATATGTAAATTCGTCAGGGTACCCGATGTAGCTGAAATTCGTACGGCATATAACCTCAACTCTAATCTTAACACTTCGGTCTCTGCTATACCCATAGTACAAACTGTTCATCCCGTTTATCATGTCATTCTTTGCGATGAAAACCGATTTCCAGTAAAATTCGGTGCCAAACATTTGTTAGTTGTTGACAAGAATTGTAAGTATATTGCATTTCAATATCTAATTTTAAAACTTTTGCAGCTGGATAAGTGCGATTCAGTATCATTTATTTATAAATCATGTTTCCTCCTTTTACAGCAGGAAAAGTTTTCAGAGTTGTAGATTCAATAGATGTTCGCAAAGCGTACAATCTACAGCAATCTCAATCAAATACTAAAAATCAGGTACAATCTCCTACTTTGGACACCAATCAACTGCAGCAATGTCTATCGTCTGTGACAAATCCGGAAGAACCTTCTGTTTTGATTAACAAGCAGTTACCGAAATCATTATCTATTGCGACATATCAGACACAATCACCATCTTTGACTCAGATGAGTCAGATGTAACAATATTCATCAAGTGCAATAGACAATACGCAATCTTCTTCTTTGATGGACAAAGAGTATCCTCAATCTTCAATTGTTAACAATTTGATAGAACCCGCTGCTTTGAACATGAATCGGGTATTGCAACCTAAAACAATATTTTCGTTCGAAAATAACGACAATTTTAATACAGAATCCACAGTGAAAGTAACACCCCCTTCAAAGACAAAACGCCGGAAAATAAATGGAGACGCCCCCCGAGGTATAGAAGCTATTATTTTTATTATGTTTGTTCATTTTCAATTTAGTAAAAGAAGTCTTTGCCATTTGTAATAATTTTCAATTCTATTCTGTCACTACATGTTACATGCAGCTTCATGGAAGCATCCTGCAATTTTACGCCTTATTTATCATTATAAAGAAAATATACATATTATGAATGGCAATTTAAAACGTCATGAGGAAGTATGGCAAGAAATATCAGATGCGTTGGTTAAGCAGGGATATAACTTTTCTCATTTGCAATGCAAGGATAAATGGAAATATAAAAAATTATATGTAGATACAATAGATAAAAATAAGCAGTCGGGAACTCCTGAGAATACATGCCCCTATTTCAACGAATTTTATGAAATTTATGGCCAATCACATTCTGTCAATCCTCCTGCACTTGCGTCCAATCGAGCATTGACTAATTCTCCTACTTCTGAAATTTCTACTGTATCTGTATCGGACTCTGATGAACAGGAATTTATAGCAAAGAAAAAGAAAAATCGAAATTCAAAGCAGCTCGATTTATGGACAGACATCTCGCAATGGCACGGCAAAAGTGACACGAAAAATTATTGGCTTTGCAAAAAAAACAAATGCAAACTCAAAATGCTCTATTAGCCAAAATATTGGAGAAGCTATGATCAAATATGTAGGTAAAAATATTTTTAGGTTGTTAATATTTTAATTTAAAAATAATGACACACTTCATAATAGTTTATATTTATATTTAAATAATCATAAATTAATAATATCTTATGCTGACTTTTTGTTTATTTTCAGAATTTCTTCTCATTACATATCGCAAAGTTACATGATAACCGATGATAGAAGGCGTAATCTCTCATGTCGCTCCAAAGGCAAAAACCATTGTCCACGTAGTCCATGTTATTTCGAGACAGAAACCTCGATTCTTTAAGCGTAAACCCACGAACATGGTGATACGTTAATAATTGTGTCTGTAATATGAGCGGAGTGGTTTGTGTCAAAAAATGAAAAGAGAGAGAAGGTCCGTGTCGGAAATTACAGTAGTAAGACTTACATAAAAGAGACGCAACGCACAAGTCGACAGTACAAATCCTTTGGCAACGCAAAATCTTAACCAAACTCACTAACTATCAACGGAGTAATGAGAAGTATCGTTCGGCGAAAAAGGTGATATGATAAAAAACAAATGTTACCAATAGCGGTAAACAACGATACAAAACAAATTAAAGGTTGTCAAACAGTGAAAATGAAAAACAATATATCAGCATTGTCTGTAGTATAATAAATTAAAGTAATAAATAAATAAATATATATAAAACAGTCCGGACAGAATGTCCAAAAAATAAAAACAAATAGTTGTCGTTGTAAAAAAGATGGTTGTCTAATGAGTTATATTAAATAGATAAATAAATAAATAACATTTAAAATAACATTTACTGTACTTGTCAAGTACACACAGTAAAATAATTATAAATTAAACATAAAAATTACCATGAAATATAAGATAATTAAAAACAATGACTTTAACCGCTGTCAAGTATGGTAAAACACGATAAATGCGAATAAAATGCAGAGTGCGAAAAAGAGAACGACAGAAAATTAAATTTTTGAGAGTTTGTCTAAAACTGCTAAATATGCCTCTGGAAGACATTCGGTGTCTGTTTGTCAGATCCTACTAATAGGCTTACTTCACATCTACGGGATTTGCTTAAGAGATGGAAAGATGCAGATTTCATATCGCCTTCAACTTATAGATTTCTCAATTTTAGTGACGGTTTCGATTCCCGATTCAGCCACTTGTACCTCGCATATTTTTTCAGACCCGCAAATGTTGTTTTCCAACAATTATTTGTCGGGCTGAGGAAGTGTGTAAACGCCCTACACAGACACGACAGTGCCGCTGCCACGGAAGAGATGGATGCTTCTCTTCACTCCGTTGATAGTTAGTGAGTATGGTTAAGATTTTGCGTTGCCAAAGGATTTGTACTGTCGACTTGTGCGTTGCGTCTCTTTTATGTAAGTCTTACTACTGTAATTTCCGACACGGACCTTCTCTCTCTTTTCGTTTTTTGACACAAACCACTCCGCTCATATTACAGACACAATTATTAACGTATCACCATGTTCGTGGGTTTACTCTTAAAGAATCGAGGTTTCTGCCTCGAAATAACATGGACTACGTGGACAATGGTTTTTGCTTTTGGAGCGACATGAGAGATTACGCCTTCTATCATCGATTATCATGTAACTTTGCGCTTTAATTGTTTAAGACTCATTTTGTATGCCGTTTATATTGTTAATTTTATTATTATTTGCGCTGATGATGGCCAAAAAAGGGCCGAAACGTCCGCTTTTCGCGAATCATGTAATTAAATTTTTTAATTTTCTGGTTTAAAATATATATCTTTGCGCCCTAAAAACTGCGCGTGGATCTTTTGCCATTTTACTTTGATTCTTGATTTTAGAAAAAAATGTTTTGAACAAAAATTGTATGGTTTTGAGGGGAACATAAGATGGTGTCATTGGTTTGACTTTGGATGGCATCGATAAGGCCAAGTCAAGGACACCTTTAATTTCTTAAATGGCATCTCCTATTTTTTATTGCACATTCTTGTAGCTTATCTCGAGAGCTTTTCAAAACACTATAATAAAGTATTTTTTCATTAAGTATAGTGTTTTGGAAAGCTCTCGACATAAGCTATAAGAATATGCAATAAAAAATAGGGGATTCTATTTAAGAAATTAAAGGTGTCCTTAACTTGACCTTAACATCCAAGGTCAAACCAATGACATCATCTTATGTTCCCCTCAAAACCATACAATTTTTGTTCAAAACGTTTTTCTCTAAAATGCTTAGTTTTTGAAAGAAAAGGGGTGTACGGATGGTCTAGGACACCCTGTATAACGATTTTTTCTTGAAATTAATTTTCTTCACTTTATCTGTATACAATATAATATATAATATATCATACATAAATACATACATATACACATACATATTTACATCATGCATATATACATATGATACATACATACACACGTATATATGAGTACCTATCATTGCAATAATGTTAACATAAGATTCATCAATATATAAAAATTATTCAAGAGAAATACTATAGAACGGAAATAATACAAAACGGAAGACTTATAAAAAGGCCGTTTATTCAATCTATTAAATCAATCTATCTCTCAAATAATTACGTTTTCTTTGGCCAGATGTAGCATTGTTATCAATATCATTTAATAATTCTTCATATAAGTCTTGTTCTTCTTCATAAAGAGCATTGTTATCTTCTTCTCCATCTCTAATATACTCTTCAAGTTCTCTTTCATCCTCATGAAATCCTTGTAAACATAAATTGTGTAATACATAGCAAGCTAAAATTGTATAAGGAATTTCATGGATTAAATCCATATGCAGATGTTTTAATCTCCTAAAGCGTCCCTTAAGAAGAGCAAATGCCCGCTCTATAACCTGTCTAGTTCTTGAAAGAATACTATTGAAATTTTTGTGAGCCTAAAAGGCAATAAAAATTTATTAATGATGGCATCTAGATAAAATGCTATTGACTATCCCTAAAAACAATAAAGAGGCTAATTGCATACCTGAGTTAAAGCACCAGTATCTGTATAAGGCGTAATAAGCCATGTTCTCACTGGTTGATAGCCTTTGTCCCCAATGAGATACTCTCCATTGGGGAACAAAGCACGTTCATTTGTTATTGCATCTTTATGTAATGGAGGATTACTTAATACACGAGCATCATGGACTGCTCCCGGATAACCGGCAAAGCAGTCTGTGAAAACTAAGGATGCGTCACAAACTGCTTGCAATTGAATAGCATATATTTTTTTGCTAGTACGATATGATCCAGAATCCACCTAAGTATCAATGTATTTACATTATTTAAACAAGGTTTTTATTATCTAATCTGTTTGACTTTATATATATATATATATATGTTACGTCCTGGCGACTCCACGATTCCTTCCTTCCGCGACGTTGCGGCAACGATAGTCGATCGGTGATAAAAATGAATCGTTCGGTAAATAGAGCATCTTGCGCCACACATTTCTTAAACATTTAGTCATTTGTCAATATCTATATCTATGAGTAACCGTGAGAAAGACGCGTAAGACCGATGACGAAACCGCGCCGGTCGCCTAAAAATAAATAAAAATCAGTAGATACCCTCGCAATAGAATTTTCTAGCGGAAAAATAAATTGATACCGAAAAGATAATAAAATTCCTTCTAACGAAATATCTGACAAGTACAACTAAATCAATAATGATGAAACTTCTGTAACGAAATATTCAGTAAATACAGCTGCACTAATATTGATAAAAATAATCATAAGGAAGTAAGACTTTTTCTAATCAGATCACGTGTGCAAGGGAAATCTAATGCTCAAGGGACTCTGAACTGATATCGAGATCACCAATCGACGATCACCACAGGTGAAAATTCGAAAAGTAGGAGAAACACCCCGCCTAATGAGGACACTAACACAATTTTTAATTCGTTAAGGTGAAGAATCCCCACTTCTGCGCAATTTCAATTCGTTGAAGTTTTGGAAGATTCACTCTTAGAATTAAAATACACTCCGAAAAGAGAATTATAAAAAGGGGACTCAAAGAGACATTGACACACTTATTCTCCGGTCTTCAGCTTCACGCAGTCTTACTCTATGCTTTTGCACCGTAATTCGCGAGTTAGGCACTTGTGCCACCAGTGTCCCCACTTGGCATCATCTCCAGAACAACCACGAATCGAATATCGAGCTGCCGACATGAGACGCAAAGCGAAACACCGTACAAAAAAAACACCGCCACCCCTCCACCTCTGAATTACTATTTAAAAAAGTAAGTTTAATTGAATAATTTTTCTTTTCCTCCTTTTTGTCTTGTTTCTTATTTAAATCAAAACTTTCCGAAGAATGTTTCATTCTTTTAAATCATCAACCCGTTCCGGTAATAAGTCTTAGAAAATTTTAAATCCTGATCTTAATCTAATACATATGCAAGCGACCAATTTTATACTTCTGATATATATTTTTATATTGTATTAACCAGTTAGAACCTAAATGTCAACGACAGAATCTTTCCCTTGCATTCTGACTGATGTCCTCCGTATTAATGTAACACCCGCGAACTAGAACACACACATACACACGTGCACTCACCGAGAAATTATAATCAACAATATTTTATTTTTATTTTTATATAATCATGTACATCTATCATTTATTTTAAAATATGAATAAATTCATACTTTGTTATATATATAATTTAAATAAAAGAATTACTCATTATTAAACCCCCCACTCATTCCTAGTTGAAAGATCGCACTTGGTCCCATCCCGCGTAAAAGAGATTAAATTCTCTTACCGAAAAGGGACCACCGAACAAACGTCTGAATAACCAGCGTAATAGCGACTCAGTCGTTTACCTGCTTTTCAGACCTGTCAGTTCGTTCGATCCGATTCCAAACGCTACGAGACGTTTAACTTCGGGATAATAAAAGATAGTTGTTGCGCCCTTTCGTCGACTCATCCTTCCCCGAGTCTGGACGTAACATATACTTTTGCATATTTATATATACTTTTTATATTTTTCATACCTTTGGAGCTTCAATTTTTATGTGACTGCCATCAATTGCACTAATGACATCAGGCATGCCGGCTTTTACTTTGAACACTTCCTTTATCCTATTTATATTGTGACCTTCTGGCCAACAAATTACTTCAGAGGCTATGTCACATAAAGAATGGATCACACGCACGAAGCAATGATGTAGCGATGATTTGCCCATTCCAAATTGTACTTCCATCGACCTATTTCATACAATTGCATTTGACATCAGAAAATATGTAATAAAATAGATTTATATATTGAGTAGCTTTATATTACCTAAATGAGTCTGGATTTGCTAATATCCATAAGCATACTAAAATTTGTGTTCGAGGTTTTAGGTTTTATAGGTAATCTTCCTTCTACTCCAGCTTTGACTAATAATAGAGCTAATCTATTTTCAAGCTCATTCGCAGTTGCAGGAACAATTCTAAAATGTGACCTGAACTGACATAATGTGTATTGGGGCACAATTTGATTGAGGAAGCCTTCTAATCTAGGCGGAGCGACTCGAAATCCACAGACTTAACCTTTTTTGAGCAACAGCATCATTATCTGCTCATCATCATCTATATCTTCTTCTATAATATTAATATATGTGCCGCGAAGAAGGAATAACATCAAACCAAAGAGACTTCGTTGCGCCATTCTTTCCCTCTAGTTGCGTTCCGAAACGTGGCTTACTCTCGTTTCCTCATACGCTTTCGACGTTTTACCCTTATTTATCTTCCGTTTCCCCTAACAACAGTTTTGGAACGTAACCTTGGTGGAATATGAGTTCTCTCTCGATACATAGTAATCATAATACTGCGTTCAATATGCTGTATTTGTATACATTTTTTGTAAGTTATTCGCAGTGTAGTCTTGTACTTTTGCTTAGAGTGTGGCAATCCTTCAGTGAGTTAATACTTAGTTGAAATGAAGCTATACGAGTTTTTAAGAGTTTGTGATAATTATGATAAACTTGTCGATTATTTAATAGAACATAGAGTTCTGCGTGCTTCTGCATTAAATTAAAAGAAAAGAAGTATTTTATAATTTCACTTTTTATTATAAAGTGAAAGCGCGTGGGCGAGGGAGGAGCTCCGCCCGTTGAATTTGCAGACGGATACTGAATGTTTGCATGACACATGTTTACATAGATAAATTCTCGATAATTAGATTTCCGCGCTTTATATATAACACGCTTCACTTACTATCTATATTGTATTATTTCGCTCTCGTCTATCGAGAAACACCTCATATATTTCGAAACATCTTTAATACGTTCGATTTCCGTCTGATCTTTTATTTCGACTTTTATTACCATTTAGTCCAGCGCTTTATTTTGTCAGTCAAAGATTTTATTGTATTTATTTTATTTTATTTATGTTATTTATATTTCTACTATTTATATTTTAATTTATTTTATTTCACTATCTGACTGTGTTACAACGGATATTATTTAGTGAACGTGTTCAACATTCAAGTGTTACATTGATTGTGATCTTCTAGTAAGTCTTGCGTTTTTTATCGATGGATCGCATCTGTTAGGAATGTGTTGCTCTGATAATTTCCCTTTTTAAATATTGACATGGTTTTTAACGCTATACTATTGGACTTGGATCATCCAAGTCCAATAAATGATACAATAGACGCGAACGTTTTGGTCCTATTTTTGACCATCCTCAGCGCAAAAAATATTAAAACATAAGTAACATTTATGAGAAAACGGAAATCGATGTAAAAAATAGAAATCGATAATCAATTAGCAAACAAACACAAAAAATATAAAGATAGTGATAGTGATAGTTGACAGTTTCATTATCACTATCTTTATATTTTTTGTGTTTATTTGCTAATTGATTATCGATTTCTATTTTTTACATCGATTTCCGTTTTCTCATAAATGTTACTTATGTTTTAATATTTGTTGCGCTGAGGATGGTCAAAAAAAGGACCAAAACGTTCGCGTCTATAGTATCATTTATTCCTTAATAAATTTATTTGTGCTTTAGATACTGCATTAGTTCCTAATGCCTATTTTGTTCTTAATTATTTATAAATATATCATATATACAGGGTGTAACTAAACAAACGCATATGGACAACACTATCAGATACAGAACAACAATTCAAATCGAAAAGTCCTGAACCATTTTTTGATATGAGCTTTCTTTTCGTTGTTATGTGATGTTAAAGTTAGCTAATCAGCGCCTGTCTATACACCAGAAAGCCGTCTCGCTACTCCGACCCCCGTCGTACCATCTCTGTTTTCCGTTGTAGACAGGCGCTGATTAGTTAACTTTAACATCATATAACAATGAAAAGAAAACTCAGATCAAAAAATGGTTGGCCTTAGACGACCCGCAGGGACGCAACACTACTCCCCCTCTTTAAAATTGTCGTCCCGACAATCAATGAGGGTATCTTCCAAATTAAATAGATTGATTGTTGTCCTCTTCTTCCAAGGCGTTGACTCCAGGGTGCCTTAATGACTTCCTGCTCTACCCTGAGCTGCTGCTACAGGTTACCGAGCGCCATTATTTATCGGCCCCAATCACACACCCTCCAGGAATATACAGGATACTGTCATCGAACCCGTTTGACAAGAACATCCAACGTCGACTCCAGGGCACAGAAACGGTTTCCTGCTCTACCCTAAGCTGCTGCTGCATGTTGCCGAGCACCGTTAAAATCCAGAACCCAATCGACTTTGATACATCTTGAAACTACAATAGCCGTCCCCCGTAGTTTGTATATATATATATAGGGTGTCCCAGAATTTGTAGATACGGAATGCACAGTGTGATTGTCCGCGCCAAAAGGAACAACTTTTTTCTCTGGTAAAATTGAGTCTAAATACTTTTTAAATGAGAGCAATTTTAAGCTAACGAATGAGTTCTAGGTTACGCATGAATCATCCTTGATACGGCATGCGCATAGCATGCGTGGCGCGTGAGCATGTACGCTATTTTACTATTTCGCTAAAGATTTTATAAGAACTATGCATGATATCTAAATATTGCTATTTTGAATACGACTTACTTAATAACATCTTCTAATTGATATCATCGAAGCAACGATTGAAAGTAAAATAAGTAGATTAGATAACAACGTGAATAATTTTGATCCAAAATTATTGTTCCAACATTCTAAAAATATTTGTGGCCCTGAAAAGGGCCGATTAAATGTTTTAAAGCATATGCTCGAAATGCAGATCTTTCATTTGTATACACATATTTGCTCTGCAAATAAGATTTTCTTGTGCATGTTGGACCATTTCCGATATGATGGTTGCTATTGCACAATGAAGCTGTTCTTCCAAAGCTTCTAGTGTTTCCATAAAATTTCGGTAAATAAAATGTTGTAAATGACTCCATAGGAAATAATCGAGTGGGTTTAAATCAAGTAATCTGAAAAGAAGAAAAGTTGCATAACTCCTATCATCTCATTCTCTTACAGAAGTAGTTTCATGTACGGGTGTTTGTAAAATTGTGAAATCATAACTTTAAATATCTCAGAAACTATAAGAGACCGCCGGTTAAGTTATAAAGAAAAGTTACTCAGGGTCATGTCCTTGACAACATATGTCAAGGTCAAAGTCATCGGTGAGGTGTAACCTATTATGCATATTTACCATTATTCGTAATTTGTTTCATTCATAATTGTATAGTTTTTTATAATTACATTAAATACATGTTTTTCTATAAATATTTCTTATTTTAATAAAATAAAATCTAGTTATTGAATTAAACTGAGATTCATAAATATGTATTGAACTTGATCCCATCCCTAATCAAGGTATTACGTACTTTTAGACGACGCGTACTCTTAATCGCTCTTATTTTAATTACAATTACAATTACAATTACATTTAATCAATTATCAATTAACAATTACGTAATTGTAATTTTTACACAATTACTTTTCGCAATTACCTGTAATTGTTTGCAATAATTAACGATTATAAAATGTAATTATTTATTGCATTAAGAATTACATTGTAGTTGTAATTTGTAATTGTTAATTAGATTACATTTTTGCCCAACTCTGGTGTTTGTAGTGAAGGGAAAAGAAAACTAGCGAAACATATTCTATAAATCGTTGCAAGTGGACATATACCGAAACTGGTATCACCCATAATTCATATGTATACGGATGACGAAGCTTTATCCTTTTTGTAGAAGGAAAATTCTCCAAATTCCAATATAAAATGATGCGAATGCAATCTAAAGAAACAGGCGCTGATTTGTATTTAAATTACCATCAAATCTGAAGCAAAAAAACATTATTATTCCGAAAATATGATCATAAAAAACAAATCTGCGGAAGTTCCTCTTCAATCATTGCTGGACCACCTACTCGTATTCTCGAAATATTACAATCCATCTTAACGGTTACAGATGAATCATTGTCAGAAGGTGTAGAGTTGATTACGAAATGGGTATTTGACGATATTTCTGAGCAATCTCAATATAAGAGCTGAATTTAATGATAGTGGTCTTTTCATTACATGGTTAGCGCCTTTGCAATTACAAATTGCGTCTCAAGAAGGACATCCAATAATATTGTGGAGAAATCCTCGACCATAATCTGTAAGGTTTTGTAGATCTATACGCTTTCAATTTCTAAAGGAAACGAAAGAAACAATCAAAATTGAAAGGGAAAATATTGAGACACAAATATCTCAACTGACTCCGTTAACGATAACAAATCCTGTTAAAACCACAATAAAATATCGCCTTACGTTTATTATAACTGATGAAAAAGTATGGAGCGCTCTTACAGATAATTTAAGTCAGATTTGTTACATTTGTAAAGCCATCCCAAAACATATGAACAAGTTAGATCTTGTCTATAATCGATCTCTTGATAAGATTACTTTGACATTAGGTATATCTCCACTTCATTGTTGGATTAGATGTTTCAAGCGTCTGTTGCATATTTCGTATAGGATAGATATAAAAAAGTGGCAAGTTATTAGTAAAACCGTTAGTCAATCGAAATTCAGGACACAAATGGGATTAATTGTAGATATCCCAAAGCAAAGAAGCGGAATAACAAATGACAGGAATACCGCTCGCCGATTTTTTGAAAATCTTGGAGTAGTTAATATAATCACTGACATTGATGAAAAGATAATTAGAAAATTCAACATCATTTTGAAGACCATCTCTTGCGGGTTTTCCATAAGTGAGGAAAAATTCAGTATTTATCATGAAACAGCCAAACTGTATGTTCAATTCTATAACTGATATCCTATGCCAGCATCCGTGCATAAATTACTTGTGCACAGTGCTGCCATCGTTTTTACAGTCATCTTGTCTATTGGATTTTTGTCTGAAAAGGCTTAAAAAGCAAGAAATAAGGATGTCAAATATATAAGAGAACATAAGGATAAAGTTCCGAAAAGTACTCACTCCTGATTTTTTTGAAACTCAGTATTCTTACGTATTTTGATGCGCTGATTACGAATATCATAGTGAAAATTGGCGACTATTTGATTTTCATGGTGAAAACCATGAGAAACCCATAACCTACCAAAAAACTAGACAAATAGGTTTGCGTGGAACCTCGCTTTGCGTGGAAAGTTACAAACCCATGTGGAATCGTATATGTACTGCAAAGTATATGCTTAGATGGGAAGACAGATATAAGATTTAGAGTCCATCATTTTTGTCGAAAACTATCACTCGTTCGGTAAAAATGAATAAGAAATGGTAAGATCTACAGACAAACTTTTGGCACTCCTATCGAATCCCTTCTGTCTCCCGTTTTGGCCGACATTGTCCTTCAAGATTTGGAGGAGAGGGCCATTTCTAGACTTTCGATATCATTGCCCATCTTTTTGCGATATGTAGACGATATTATTCTCGCAGCCCCTCCTTCCTTTTTTTCATCTGTCCTTTCTGTTTCCAATTCCTTTCATAGGAGGCTGCAGTTCACAATTGAGGCGAGAAACGACAACTGCATTAATTTTTTAGACGTCAAGATTATTTTAATAAAAGGTACATTCTTATTAAATTGGTACAGAAAGCAGACATTCTCGGGAAGATTCTTAAATTTTTATTCACAACATGTCATAAAAAGTCGTTGTAAAACGTCATTATCGGCTTAGTAGATCGAATCTTCCGCTTATCGCATCCACAATTCCATGAAAAAAACTTTAATCTAATTATGACATTCTTATGAAAAATGACTACCCTATGGATTTTATTTTTATGACCATCCGTAACAGGATAAAATCCTTAATTAATAAAAGCTAGCTTCGATTTTCCCCCAGTTCCTGTCCCTTTCCAGTTCCCCTCCTTGTCTCCTTCCTTTTTTACAGTCCCTTACGTAAGAGGTGTCACAGAAAGATTAATGCCAGTAATCAAAAATACCAAGAAATCTATGGCATGCGTGTGTGTCAACAAACTTAACATCATTAAAACATGTAAGGATTCTCTTCCGGCTTTAAATCGTAACAATGTGATATATAAGATCTGTTGCCGAGACTATGATGTGTCTTATATGGGCCAAACGAGTCGACAATTAACAACAAGGATAAAAGAACATCGCCTCAACATAAACCGTTTTCTTGTCACTAATTACAGAACATCGACTCACAGGGCACGAATTTAATTGGGATAACGTCCGAATATTAGACGAAGAGCCTTCTTATATCAAGAGATTCATCAGAAATGCTATACATTAAGCAACAAAAGAATAGCATAAACCTTCAAGATGACACGATTCTTCTGGACCATTCGTACCTTCCTATCATAAATAAATGCTCCTAATGTTTCTTCTGTTTTTCCTTTCCCTTGTTCTTTTCTGTTTTTGTTTTTAACCTTGTTTTCGTTCCTGATTTTGTTTTATAAAATTTGTGCTTATGTTTTCATTCTGTTTGTCTCCTTTCCTTGTGACGGTTTCCTCATTAGATATCGAGCAGCTCATTAGACCAGTCCGCTTTCTGTTTCCAATCATACGGTTTTTCAAATAAAATTTTCAACGGGATTTTTAAACAAAAAAATTTTCAACGAGTGTCGCATCGCTTTTAGTTAACTTGGACATCAAATTTGTTTTTGTAAGTAATTTTATTTCTTTCATTTTCATCCTCATCTTTTATATTCTTTCGATTTTCATACTTATCGCAGCTTTTGCATCTTGCATCTTTTACTAATTTTGCCACCTCTTTTTCCTCAGCTCCATACGCTTAGACTAGACACACATTCTTTTCCGACATTAAGAGCTTTACCATCTGTTTTTTCTTATTATGGTGTCATTCGATTGCTCGCGCCCGCCTCCACCATTTTGCCTAAGAACAAAATTAAGCGGCCGTGTGATGAGTTTAACCCACGCGGAATCTTATAGTCATCTGCGATCCATTGGATAATCTTATAAGCACTTTATAATGTTAGTATAAGTTTAGTTGCGTTCCGGATGCATTACTCCGCCTCACGAGGTCTTTCTTTACATTAATATTAGATCATTACCATTGATAAGGACCCGAAGTGGGCCGAAACGTTTGGTTTTTGTCATTTCATAATGTTTATTTGCGAATTTATATCGTGTCCATCAATACTTTTTGTTAAATAAACAGCACATAATTTTTGCGCAATAAATACCGCGTTCGGGCTTCTATTGGCCTTTTCCTCTTTGATTTATTGATATGTCTCTTATTTTACTACGCTATATCGAAAGTTTATTAAAATCGGGAGCGAAGAGGATATATTTACTTATAAGTTATGCGAAAAAAGCAGCCACTATCTCTTTTTTAAGCAAAATTTATATTTTTTGTTCATATTTTAAAAGTTGTTGTTGAAACGAGTTCATATTTATGAGTTTAAATCTGTGAACTTCCATAGCACACACAATATTGGGAGTCATCTTTGTAAGTTCAAGGAAGAAAGATGATGTTATTAATCTTCCAATTTTTGAAATTATTTTTTTCTAGCACAATGTATCATATAAAACAAAATTCTTCCGCATTTTTTATTTATATTTATATTAGTGACAAATTATTTTTTATTTTTTTTACTATATCTTTTGGAATAATATATATGATAAATTATGAGAATCAATATTGTATATACGTTATAACACACAAAGTATTGGTAATTTCTAAGTGTATTTCTATTTGCAGTACACATATTTGTTTTTACGCATACATAAACTTTTTTATAATTCTTCATAACAGAGTACGCAGCATCGACAAATACGCCAAAGAAGTTTTGATAACCTGCATTAATATATATTTAATATTACATAATATTACTTCGGTTAAAAAAATTGTTTCTTAATTAAAAAATCTATAAGTTTAAAAAGGCTTACTTCTAAATTGTCTAAAATCTAAAAAGAATTTAGAAAATAGATATTTTTTTAAAGCGATATAAATTGTGTTCTGGGTACAACTGCACAAAAGGTTACATCTCACCGATTTTATCGCCATTTAAATATGTTGTAGAGGTGATTCTTCTGAGTAATTCTTCGCAAAAAACAAGTCGAGGACGGCATTAGTGTTTAAGAAATATAACAAATTAAAATTTTACAATTTTGCTTTTAGATATTACAAATTAATATTAGAAACAGTGAAATTTGTGTACATTGTATTTCTTGCAGAGTAGACGTAGAAAAAGTTTTTGTATACATTTACAGAATAGCTACATGGTAATGGATATTTTGTCAATAACCGGTTTTATCTATTTCTCGCAGCTTATTATTTTTCCTCATTTCTTCTTATTCTGGTGAATAAATATATCTAAAGTGAAAAATATTATTTATTGAATGTACGGGCGGGGAAGAGGCGAAGCCCCTACATCCCCTCTCGAAAAAATTCTAACCTAACCCAAACCTATTTTCAGTTTTAAAAATAAAATTTGGTTGGTGGCGAGCGGGGGAGGGGGGACCTCCCCGCACACGCGTAATTGTCATAAACAGCCTTTTTCAGTTAGAAATAACAAATTATAACAGTATATACAAACTTTAATATCAAACTTCAATTTGTTATATCTTATAAATCTAAACTAATGCCGTGCGCCACTTCTTTCTTGCGGAGAATTACTCAGAAGAATTTCCCATACAACATATTCAAGTGACGATAAAATCGGTGAAGTGTAATCTTTTATGCAATTACTCAGAAGAATCTCCCCTACAACATATTTAAGTGGCGATAAAATCGGTGAAGTGTAACCTTTTATGCAGTTTTATCATGTATTGCTATGAATACAAAATAACATAAATTCTATTTCTAAAAAAAATTAAAACAATTTAAATATAAATCCATCTGAATTATGATGTTAAAAATAATTATAACTATAAAATAAAAATATATAAAAAGCACACAAAAGGCTGTTATTAAGGCAAATAACAATCATAGTGTAGGAAGTAGACGAAAAGAATTTAATATATCAAGTATAAAGTTATATACATATTAAGGATAACTTTCGGTTTTCCGTCCATTTTCGAACCATCTTCAGCAAAATAAGATTAAAAAATAAAAAATATATAAAAAAACACGCAAGATTACGTAACTTAAAGTTTAGCCAATCAATACTTAATGATAAGTAAAATACGTGATGCGAATCAAAATGTAAAAAATATAATCCGAAGTGATCGTCCAGATAAAAATCGATTCCTGTCGTTACGAAGCGTAAATTATCGAACAGAGCGGAAAACATTTGTTTCCTCGATAAAATGTAATAAATTCCTTAAGAAATGAAGTGCTGAAATACAAAACTTGACAAAATGACTAATAAAATCAAAAACGCAAGGAGGTAACTCACCGAATAACTGCATAATGCAACAAAAATTGCTCGGAGCAGCCATATATTCATTATAAGTCTTAAAAATCATTAGTTGAAAAAGTGAGACGGAAAACAAAGGTTTTTAAAATCCTTGGCAGGTGCAAATCTAATAATATAAGCAAGAAGAAGCATAAAAACAAACCAGCAATAAATTCAAATGGCAGAGAGAGATAAGTTTTCTATTATCGCTCTATTATTGCATAACAATAAATCTTTGATATTCACTTTGCAAGCTGAAACCGGTTTTCTTTAAAGTTTGATGAATATCTCCAATAAGAGTCTCTGACCAAAATAATGTTCAACACCCAAAACCTCAACATCATTTTAGTTAAAATCATGATTCAACTCCAATGTGTTGTCGGTAATATACGAAGATTAATATATCTTTTCTTTTGCGCCTACTTCCCGCGCTTCGGCTTTTATTTGTGTGCGCGTGTGTACGTGCGTTCGTGCGTATGGCGTGCGTGCGTGCGTGCGTTTTTTGTTTTGCTTCTTCTATCTTTATTTTATCTTAGAGCCTCTTATCTTCTTTTTTAATTATAACTATAACTATAATTATATTATCGATTTGATAAATTTTTTTTATAAACTTATTATAAAATCTTATACCTTATATAACTTATTTTATACGTAAAATTGTTGTCTGAGATACTTACGTCCGTAAAACTGTTCAAGGAGAATATATAAAATTTGCCAGCTGTTAAATATAGCATAACTTGGCCATGAATCATACATATGAGTAAACACTTCTTGCAACTAAGCGGCATTTCATACCAATCGCACTCGTAATACGCATCTTGAACATTTATACACTAAATGAAACAATTGAAAGAAAAAGATTTTATTTAAATACAAACATTCTTATTATTAATAATATAAAAGGGAAGGTATAAATCCTATCGGCATTTTAGTACGAGTAAATCTGCATCTCTTGGTTATATGTATGTCAGTTTTAACAATTTATTGTATAAGATGCTTGTTATATTAAACCAATCTAAACAAAATTGAATAGACCCTCTCTAATATTGAATATTATTGTAATATTTTCTACAAATAAGAGGAACGGGCTAATTGAGAACGGTAATCGGAGCGCAATTTCTTTTCTTTTCAACATGTGATTTATTAATTGTTCATATTCATATATTTCGATCTCTTAATTGGACCATCATCAGCAACTGTTAAATAATACGTAAAACGTGAATAATATGTGAATTATATATGATAATTGAAAATTTGCATATATAAATATATATTTAAAATTAAAATAAAAAATGTAAATGTTCTTATATGACTCATTATCAGTAACTTCTACGACGCACAAGTGCAATTTGCCCTTTCCAATTCCAACTGTTGAGGAAGGAAATACACAGTGATTCTTTGGAAGTATTGTACAATATTGAACAATGGACAGATTAACACGTAAACGGGAGAATAGCGTTAAATATTAGAGAAAAAAATATAACCGGGCTTGTAAAAAAAGACGACTCATGAGACATTGAGAGCCACGAGTTGAAACGCAAATTTCATTTAGTCAAAACAAAAAGATTTTGACAATGATCACATGATATTATGTATATCCAAACATCGTCAACAATTTTTTAACATTAGAATGACGTCAACGCTCTTTTTTCAATAAAGGAAGAATGAGACTATACCACTGGTGGATTCTGAGGGGGGAGTTTTGGGGTTAAAATATCTCCTTATAAATTAAGAAAAAATCAGTTTTACTAAATCTGTTTCAAAAATCTAGGAAAAAATGCATTAACCCTCTTGTCAATACCCGGGTACCCGGGTAATCTATTTTCGTGTTCTCATTAAAAATTTTTCAATTTCCCGGCAAGATATGCCTTAGCACGGCCAGATCCTCGTTATTTGGATCATTTTACATCGATTTACGCTTTGAGCCATAATTCTTTTTTTAAATTATTCTTGTTATCGGGGGTCAAAGTTGACAACACACTTGTTCAATACGCGGGTACCCCGGGCTTATACACGAGCATTCCACACGAATTTTCTTTCCGCTTTTGCTATTCACGTCATCGAAGCACTTCGTGAGTGTAGGAAATAATAGAAATTTCATCTATACTCTCTAATTTCGTCTATACTTGTCGAGATCTCATTCGAGAATGAAACCACGCTAAAGAATTTGTCCGTTGGGACACCGATTCTTTCAGGTAAAAACCCGAGGGGAATTCCAGGAAACGTTAAAGGGGGAAATCCGTGTTCATTTACCAACTTACAGCTGTCAGGTACCCGGGGGGAAGGACGCAGGTAGCCTTACACTGCCGTAACTATCGGTTTTGCATAATGCGTATCCGGGTACCCCGGGTATTGAACGAAAGGGGGAAATCCGGGTATTGACAAGAGGGTTATACGTTTAAAGCAGGCCTGTCGACGTAGATCAAACTCTCTGGGACCTCGTTTCCTCACTCTGCACGCTCACTTCTTCCGAGCCTGTACATACCTCCCATCCCTACCATACAGTTTAGTACTCTAGTACGGCCGCGTCAACGAAAAGAAGATCGCGGTATTGGGAAAGGGATCATAACAGTAGGAAAGAGAGCACATCAGAGAAAAGAGAAGCGCGGTAATTGAAGGGGAGCGTATCTGTTGAAAGAAAAGCAGAGAGGCACAAGTTATGATTCAACAGGCCTACGTTAAAGGAAGATCCATTATTCGCATTCAGTCAGATAGAAAGATTTCTTTGCGTTCTGAAATTTATTTTCCGGCATCTTCTTTTACGACATTAAAGCCTTTTAAAAGAGCATATAACATTCGCTCATCCTCATTCGCATTTTAGAGAGTCGACTAGTAAAATCGTGTAAAAAAAATGAAACGAAATACAATCATCGATTTCTTGAAAAAAAAAAATCATAACGAAATGAAGATTCAGCTTCGGAGTTTCCTCCACTTCCACCTTCATCTTCCTTTTCAGCTTTTAATTTTCCTTCCTCCTCTCAGTTAATTTCAGCTTCCTATTTGCCTTCCTTCTCTCCGTCAACTTCAGTTTCCTGTTTGCCTTCCCCCTTTTCGTCAACTTCAGCTTTCTGTTTGTCTTCCCCCTCTCCATCAAGTCCAGCCTCTGTTCCTGTTCCGACATCTTTTGAAGAGAACAATATAGTTGTGTTTCTTGACAAAAAGCTAAATATATTCCAAAAGGTGGATGCTTTGAGCAATATTTATGCGCCTAGTCAAGATTTTATTTTTTCCGAAAAATCCACAGCGTAATTTAAGATTTCAATATGCACGGCTTCATAAATTTAATTGGCTTTCCTACTCTAAGGCAAAAGATGCAGCATTTTGCAAATATTGTGTTATTTTTGGCCTGAATCTGTTGGAAAAGGCAACCAAGATCTAAAGTAGTTGGTGAAACAGCCTTTTAGCAATTGGAAAAAAGCCTTGAGACCTTTAAAAATCATCAGGATTATTAATGGCCGCTCGTTGCTCGCGCGTACCCCGACTCTCGTCGTGGGGCCACCAAACTTTTCGTTGCCGTGCGACACTGCGAAGCTCGCCGCTGGCACGCTTAGAGCGTACGTTCTACGGTCTAGCCGCGCGAAACGCTCGCTCATTCGCCAATTAATATTTCAATAATTATTGCGAAAATTGCAAAATGGTACAGGACTTTTCTGTTCAGTTTACTGTGCTCTACCTGCTCACGAATGTTGTCAAGGGTGCTTTGGGACACCCTGTATAAGCTCTGTGGATGGATCGCTATCTTTGTCAGTAATTCGCTGATTGTTTGAAATCATTATAATATCATAGTCAAAACACTGATCTCTATAAGTAACTGGATATGTGACAGGGTGAAAAACTGTGACCAATTGAAGCTCGAAATTGTGGCCTCCGTCTACAATATGGCGCCTTAGCGCTTGCGTAAATGCGCTCCACTTGACGTTATTTTCGCTTCAAAATGTAAAATTCTTTGCTCTGATTAATCCATTAAACGCTTCGATGCGAAAATGAGTATAGACATAGGTCACAATTTTAATAGCTTCCAGTGTCCTATTGGTCACAGTCTCTGAGTCGCAGATCGAGTATATCTCATATCCAGTTATGTATAGAGATCTTCTTCTTCTTGTGCGGTATCCGATTTGAGCGTTCGCGACACCTCTACATATATCTACGGGGTGCGCCTTTTTATAGTATTCCTCAAACATATGGGTCATACAGTTTAACGCCGGTTCCGAATGGTCTAGATTTGAGAGGATTTACTAGACAAGATACTCTCGGTAGTTTGCCTTCCGAAAGATGGCGATCGAATATATTTAATGTTTCTGGCTGGATTTAAACCCGAGTCCTTCGGCACAGAGGGCAGATGCACAACTCTCTGCGCCACGACCGCACACTATCAGAGATCAAGAGTCAAAAACATTGACATTATATGTAAGAGAGAAAGAGAAAAGAGAGTATAGAGAGAAGAGATACCCAACTATTATTCTTCAATTATAATGAGCTTTGGATATGTTGTAACATACATTATAATAAAAGGCATTTATTTTTATATAAGTGCTTTATCGCATAATAAGGGGTTACAACATTCTCTTGAAAAAAAAAACCGGTTTTCATTTTAAAAAACAATTATTTTTTTTATTTCTGATTTAAAACTAAAATTTGGTTTGCGTTAGGTTATATCTTCCGGAAGTAGAGCTCCCCCTTGGGGGGAGAGGGGCGGAACCCACCGTGTCCATGCATATATTTTACAACGCAAAGCGATGTCCACCCCACAATTGTTGTGTGGATAGGAAAGTGTATATGCGTGGATACAGTGGGTTCCGCCCCCCTACGGGGAAGCTCCACTTCCGGAAGATATATAACCCAAACATAATTGTTTTAAAAAATACATTGTAAATAATTACATACTTTTTCTTAAAAACAATTATTTTTTTTATTTCTGATTTAAAACTAAAATTTGGTTCGCGAGTTATGTTATATAACTCAAACCAAATTTTCGTTTCGAATCTAACTTTAACTTTAAATATCTCAAAAATTATAAGAGACCGCCGATTAAATTATAAGGAAAAGTTATTCAGGATTAGAGATGGCGGTTGAACATGGAAACGGGAGTCAAAGGGGAAAGAGAGGAACGGCGAAAGAAAGGTCAGGCGAATTAGAGGCGGATAATGAGAGCAGAAGAGGTGGAAGTGGCGTGGTAAAGGGAGCAAGGTGGAAGGAAGAACGTGGAAGACGGAAGGATACAAAGATGTTGGCAGTTTGGAGGTGAGGAGAAAGAAAGAGAGAGAGAAAAGAGGGATAGAGTGAGAGGGCTTAAGAGAGGTGATGAAAGATTGCAGATAGACAGGAGAGGTCGATAAGAGAGAGGGAGAGTCAGATAAGGTAGGGCACAGTAATGGCGAAGGATAAGAGTTGAGTGGGAAGATCCGAAATGTGGCGCCGGAAGTATGAAAAAGCTAGGATCGTGCACATGGGGAATCAATGGAAAATCGAGACCGAAACGAGTAGTAGGGGTGGAGTACGCAGTTAGGGAAAAGTAAGGAAAGGTAAAAGAGCGGCCAGAAGTAAGAAAGGAGAAGAGGGAGTGGCTATTGGAGGCAAAAGGACAGCAGAGAAAGGAGAAAGAAGAAAAGGGGAGAGCGACAAGAGAGGAGAGCCGACGGAAGTGGAGTGAGTAAAGAGGAGGGTGAGGAGAAGAGGTGGGAAAGGAAACGGTCGGAAGGTGAGAAGTGCGGAGAGATGGAGAAGTGGATAAAGGAGCTAGTGGAGGATGTGAGGGATAAGAGGGATGAGAGGGATAAGGAGGGAGATAAGACGATGGAGAAGAGAGAGTGTGATGGAGGAAGTGAGATGGTTAAGGAAAAAGGTAAGACAATGGAAAAGAGAGATTGGGAGAGGAAGAGAAGAAGGAGGAGTAGGATCAGTAACGTCGTCAGGAGAGGAGAGCGCAGAGGTTCGGGAGGAAGGAGGAGAAGAGGCAATAAGTCCTAGTAGAAAAGAAAGAAAAGAGGGCGAAAGGGAGAAAGCGACATCGGAGGAGGTAAGCGAAGAGGAAAAGAAGAAAGAGAGAGAGGAGACGGAGGAGCCGGACAGAGAAGAGAGAAGAAAGATAGATGAGCTGCAGGAGAGGTAAATGGAGAGACGGGAAAGAAAAAAAGAAGAGATTGATGGGGAGAGGAGGAAGGCAGGGGGAAGATGGGGGATCGAGGAAGGGAGGGGAGCAAGGTTTGTAAGGTCACAAAGGACCAGGTCGGGTGAAGAACAGGAAAATTTGTAGAGATTGTAAAGGTTTGAGTACATTCCTGAAAAACGCCTTCAAAACCCCAAGGAGACTGAATAAATGACATACATAAGTTACTCAGGATTATGTCCTTGACAACTTATGTCAAGCTCAACGTCATTGGAGCTGGGTCCGCTATACTAAATAATTACCAAACTTTTTGTATCTTGATATTTTTTTTGGAAAACTAATAGTTTTTGAGATTGGGTTCAAAGAATAAAGAATCGTAATTTTAGGTCAGATCAAAATCAACTCTCTCTATCTTTTAAAAATAAAAACTATTTTTTATTGTACTTTCGGATTTATCTAATCAAAATAAATGTTTTTGGTACTTTAATAATTTTTTATAAAATCAGTAGTTTCCGAGATATTTGAGCTAAAAAATGCGATTTTTACGAGCACTAAAGCGCGCTGCTCTTTCATTTTGGGGGAGTGCCTAAAACGCGTTTGAAGTATTCGAAGGATCGCCGAAGCTTGACTTTTATGGAATAATGAAGCAATCACAGCGCCCTTTTTCAGTATAGACTATTACCACAAAATACTTTCATTAGGCTCCCATTCAGTTGATTGTTTTTATTTAAAATCGACTCGAGTTGGCTCTTATTGCAACGATTTGTTCGATACGTTTGGTTATTAGAGTAAATTTCTTTTATTCCCTTTCGTTAATTGTGTCATTATCAACATGGCAGATTATCCGCTCTCAGAAATTGTTGATATGATTGGTATTTATTATGCCGCTGATAATAATGCTAGAGAAGCAGCTCGTCAATATCGAGATAAGTATCCGGATAGACGACATCCCGATCACAAAGCAATTTTGCGTTTAATAGCTAGAGCGCGTACGGGATAGATGAAACGCAAACGTTCTAAAAAACCATTAAATAACGACAATGCTATTATCATAACTATATTAGGAATGGTAATAATCCGCACATTAGTCAAGATCAAATTAGTCGTGATTTAAATGTGTCTCCTGCGACTGTAAATAGAATTTTACGTGGCAATCACATTCATCCTTATCACATTTCACTTAATCAGTCATTTATCATCTTTATCAATCAATAATTTCTAATAATAATAAAGTTCTTCATGTCACATTCTGTAGATGGGCTGTAGCTCAAATTTAGCTCGATCCCACATTTTTTTCTCGTGTTATGTTTAGTGAAGAGACTGCATTTGAGAGCAATGGCATACTGAATCGGCATAATAGCCATTATTATTTTGATATTAATCCGCACTGGGTTCGTCATGTAGACAATCAGCATCGGTGGAAGGTGGTAGTTTGGTGTAGTATTTTAGATAGTCACATTGTTGGACCTTACTTTTTTGATGGCAATGTTAGAGGGGCATCATATTTACGTATGCTACGAGATGTGTTGCCAAGGATGTTAGAGTTTGCCGATGAAAATACAACGTATGTAGTTGCAACAGGACGGTGCACCATCACACTACGCACGCCCTGTAAAGAACTTTTTAAATTTAACTTATCCGCGCCGTTGGATTGGACGAGGTGGTCATGTAGCATGGCCATCCAGATCACCAGATCTAACATCACCAGATTTTTTCTTATGGGGCTATTTAAAAAATACTGTTTATCAGACCGCACCTACCACAGCTGAAGACCTAAAGAATCGCATCAGACGGGCGTGTAGAAGTATACCAGCCAACGTTTTCAGAAAAACAGTCGATGCATTCAAAAAACGGTTACAATTATGTATCCAACAGAATGGTGATACATTTGAGCATTTGCTGTAGACCAAAAATACACATTCAATGTGACTTCGATGTGACCCTACAGAGTCAATCAGTCTTGCCTTCACTGGCCGGACCAATCTTGGGTCTTGCCTTCACTGGCCGGATCAATCTTGGGTCTTGCCTTCACTGGCCGGATCAATCTTGGGTCTTGCCTTCACTGGCCGGCACACCTTGGGTAATGCTAATGCCTGCGGAATTGTAACTTTCAAGCCTTGTAACTCGAAAAGTACTTCACGAAAAAATACTTAATTATAGTGTTTTGAAAAGCTCTCGAGATAATCTACAAGACCATGCAATAAAAAATAGGGGATTCCATTTAAAAAAATAAAGTTAAACTCCATATGACCTTGATACATTCACTCGAGATCAAACCAATGACACCATCTTATGTCCCCCTTCAAACCAAACAACTTTTGTCTGAAACGTTTTTCCATATCTTTCATATTTTTCGAGATATTTGCCTGGGGCGATTAAAAGAAACACCCTGTATACGGAATGTCCGGTATATAATAACCATATCATCTCTCGTGTGCAGGTAAAGCGGGTTAAACCGAAGAGAAAAATCCTTTATCATTTTGCGATTTTTACGATAATTACTGAGAAATTAAATAAAAAAAATTATGCACTTCGCCCGAATATAAACTCACAGTGAGAAGAGACAGTCCATTGATATGCAATCGCTATGACGCGAGAATCCAGCGTTATGTACCGCTCGTATGTAATTGTTGTCATTTGTACAGTGCTCCTCCCTTCGTCGCGCACCTAGCCAACTAGTGAGCGGTTTCTTCTCGCCGCGCGTTTATACTCTCGCAATTGGCCGATCTTTTTTAATTAATTTCTCAATAATTATTGCAAAAGTTACAAAATGATAAAGGACTTTCCTGTTCGGTTTAACTTGCTCAACCTGCACACGAGAGATGATACGGTTATTACCGGACACTCTATGTATGTATATGTTTATACATTTTTTTATATATCATATATATAAATAATCTAAATTTTCTCCATACTGCACCGCACATGCGAAGAATTTGTTCTACCGTTTGGCATCATTGTTTATCATTTCTATCCAACAATACCTGTTGAGTCAGTTGGTCACCAATTAAACAGTATCCAAAAAGCATAACAAGCGCAATAATGGCGAAAAATATAAAAGTGCAACAAGTCGCCAGTTCTGAAACCTGCAAGTTCTAACAAATATAAAATGTCATTTATAAATATATTAGAATGTTTCCTAAATCGCAATCGAGATTTTTTTTCTGTGAGCAATTTGAAATCAATATTTCTCTCGAAGAAAAGTTTACTATAAACCATTATTTTTAATCATTAAATATATGAAGGACATGAAAGCGCTTATATTCTTATTAAAGATAAATCCTCTCTAAATTTGGCAATGATTATAGAAAATATAATATAGTAGAAAAAAATCCCATAATTAGTTAATGATTAAATTAAATAACATATACAATATATACAATATCCCAAAATATATATAGGAGAAAGTAGGGTAAAACCGGGTATTTTTTTGGATTTGACTTCATACAAAAAATCGGAGAGTAAAAAAAATTTTGTTGATTATTAGTAATATTTAGTGGAACTTAAACTATGAGAAAATGAGGCTAGTCGTTGAAAAGAAAATATTTGGTTACCAAAGATAATAAGATTTTTTGGAGAAGTCAAAATATCCGGTTTTGCCCTACCGGTAGGGTAATCTAGATTTAATTTAATCAAAATATAACATAAATATGTATTCTAGTGACAAAAATCACAAATAAAAATATCCTCTTCGACATTGCTGCAGGACTTTCTTATTTAACTTTTTAACTTTAAGGATCTCAAAAAGCTTTTTTTTTAGTGATTTCTTTTTCTGAGTGTTAGTTTTCGTTTCCAACTGCTGTTTGTAGGGAGATAAAGTCAGGATAATAGTTTTTCCTCTTTTTATTACATGAGGTGTGTAGGTACCCGGTTTTGCCCCAACACAAAGAAAGTAACAAATACGGCAGTTGTATATTTCGACGTACAAAGTGACGATCAAAACTAGTGTAGATATACTCTCTAATATATACAGAATGTGTGTACAATGCTGCATTTTCCGAAGCAGATGCTCTGTGTAGAAAAAGTCCATAACGATTCGATTGTTGTCCCGATATAGATCTTTTTTGACCCGAAAATTTTGAACTTCTCTCAAAAAAGAAATATCGTGTACACATGATCATGGTTCATCTCAAAATAATGTTGGCATCAATCTGCAACTAATAACACAAGTTAGCCAAAAATAATAGCACTTATCACGAACAAACAGAGGTACCCGGTTTGACCCGCCTACCCGATTTTATCCTACTTTTCCCTATATGCAGGATGTCTGGTAAAGATCGTGCCAACGCTCGTGAGCGGGTAGACCACAGTAAACTGAACAGAAAAGTCTTTTACTATTTTGCGACTTTCGTAATAATTATTAAGAAATTAATTGAAAGAGATCGATCAATTCGCGTGACTATAAGCGCGCGGCGAGAAAGAACGGTCCAGAGACATCCCAAAAGTTTGCGGTCGTTAGGCGCGCGAGGAAGTTTTGGGAGGAGCGCTCTACAAATGACAACGGTTACGTACGAGAGCGATGCATAACGATGGATTCTCGCGTCCTAGCAACCACACATCAATGGGTTGTCCCTTTTTACTGCGCGCTTATACTCACGAATTGGTCGATTTTTTAAAATTAATTTTTCAATAATTATTACAAAAATCGCAAAATGGTAAAGGACTTTTCTGTTTAATTTACTGTGTTCTACCCGCTCACGAGCGTTGGCACAATCTTTACCAGATACTCTGTATATATATACAGGGTGTCCGATAATTTTTGACACACCCGAAGCGTGAAAGTAGATTTGGTCAAACTGAAAAGAAAAGTCCTGTACCATTTTGCGATTTTCGTGATAATTATTGAGAAATTAATTAAAAAAGATCGACCAATTCGCGCGAGTATTACCGCGCGGTGAAAAAGAATGGCCTGATATGGGCGGCATTGATATGTGGTTGCTAGGACGCGAGACCCCATCATTATGTACCGCTCGTCAGTGATGCCAGAATTGAGACGCGAGCAACACGACTCCGTAATGGTAGGGATACACACACAAGCGTAAACCGTGTACATGTAATGCGCAGAGCGCTCCTACCATTACGGAGTCGTGTTGCTCGTGTCTCAATTCTGGCATCACTGCCGCTCGTACGTAACTGTTGTCATTTGTGTGAGCGCTCCTCCCTTTGTCGCGCGCCTACTTTTAGGTTGTCTCTTCTCGCTGCACGCTTATAAAAAATAAAAATAAAAATAAAAAAATAAAGCGGAATGAAAGAATTGTGCTGTTTAAGCGAATGTTAAAGGAGTATATTGTAACTAATGTAAACTAGATTTGTATTACAAATAGCTAATAAAGATCAATCAATCAATCCCTCTCCCTCTCTCTCTCCCCCTCCCTCTCTCTCTCTCTCTCTCTCTCTCTCCTCCCTCTCTCTTCCCCTCCCTCTCTCTTCCCCGCCCTCTCTCCCCCTCTCTCTCTCAATTGTTTTGCGTTTACAAATGTTCAATGAGAAAAGATTTGGTCGCCCTGATGAGGGCGGATTTGTCTTCGCATTGTTTTTGCAAAAAATGGTCAGAGTGGTTTCCGTCCATCGCAACGCAATAGACGTAAAAAAGAAGAACCGCGAGTGTTATGTTGCGGTTGTTAAGCAACAATTATACCATATAAATAATGCGACGGAATTGATATCTGCGACAATCATCCTCCGTCAATTAAGATACGCAAAAAAAAATGGCATTGTATACAACACAGTATTATGATATGCGCTAATGGCACTCGGTGAGGGCCAAGGACAGTACCATGCAGTGATGCCAGAATTGAGACGCGAGCAACACGAAGCGCAGAGCGCTCTGCGCATTACATGCACACGGCTTGTGTATGTATCCCCACCATTACGGAGTCGTGTTGCTCGCGTCTCAATTCTGGCATCACTGGTACCATGTGGCTACAAGAAGAGCTGAATTGTATCCAAACCGAGTACGAGATCTACTGCCAAACGTGATACTCGCAGCAGCTCAGAGGTTGTATGAAACCGGTAGCGTCTTAACAAACAAGATTGATGCAGGAAGAATACGTGAGGGAAAGAATTTACGAAATATGGAAACGGTTATTCGTGCTGTCGAACATGAATCTGAAACCAGTATCAGAGTCATTGCTCGAGATCATGATTTATCATATCGATTTATCGTAGTGATGCCAGAAATGGTATCGTGCGCGCGCATGCTTGAGACCAACCATGTACATACGTTGCTATGTTACGGGCGCAGAGCACCCAGTTTTGGCGGCAAATGGGTCAGGTTAGATAACTGGTATCACAGGCGGTCTCGCGGTTTCTGTATACGTAGTTTAAAATGATTTTGAGTTCCCATTTATGTGCTACATAGAGAATAGGATAATGACTATCGCATAGGATGCAAAAAGAAGGTAAGCAGATAATGCAATAGTGCAGCAGTAGTGAAGGTAAGCAGATAGTGCAATATTTATTATTATTATCAATAAAATATTTTTATAAAATATGAAATTGAATGCTTCCAAAGGAGCTGTTAAAAAACAAAATAATAGGAAATTTAATTTTTCATGGCTAGATGAAAGAATTTTTAAAGGATGGTTGGCTCCCCATTCTGAAAATAATAAAGCTTTTTGTACTGCATGCCAAATAACTATCACATGTCACAAGGCATGTTTAATTAAACATTCAACTCAATTGGTTAGACATATGGAAAAAATAAATATTCAAAACCTCAGTAATAACAATAATAATTTTAATTCATTGATTTCCCATAAGGAGAAAGTAAAACGCGCCGAAATAAAATTATTAACTTTTGTTGCTGAACATAATATCGGTTTTCAACTCGTGGATCATTTAGTTCCTTTATTAAAAGATATTAATTTAGAGCCCGAAGTTGTACAATCTTTCTCTAAACCGTACGAAATGTCAGCATATTGTTAAAAACATAATAGCAAAACGCGAAATAGAAGAACTTATTAAAAATTTACAGTAAATTTTCAATTCTAATTGATGAAAGTACTAATATCACAGATACAAAACTGCTTTGTTTATTAGTTCTATATCTTTGGCCTACAGATAAAAAAATTAAAACAAAATTATTAGAATTAATATCATTAGATGCTAGGGATTGTACGGCAAATAAACTTTTTGAAACTTTTAAAACAGTATTTGGAAAAAAAACAAATTCCTTTACAAAACATTGTTAGTATGACTAGTGATAATGCTTCTGTGATGATAGGATCTAATAATTCGTTTCTTTCTCGTTTAAAATCTGAAATACCCGGTTTAGTATTAATGAATTGTATTTGCCATTCATCTGCAATCATAGCTAGTAAAATTTGTGAAGAATTGCCATAATCGTGTGAACATTTGATTGGAGGTATTGCTACATACATTTCTAGTAGTGCAAAGAGATGCGCAATTTTGGGCAAGTTTCAAGATTTTTTTATTGTCAAAAGGCAAAAAATTCTTAGATTATTTACCACAAGATGGTTAGTATTGCATAAATGCGTCGTAAGACTTCTCGATAATTGGGAAGTGTTAAAACATTATTTTATTGTACCCGTACTTGAAGATAAATTGGAACCTGCAGAAACTATTTTAACATATTTAAATGATAACGTAATAAAAGCTTATTTATTAGTTTTAAAATATTCCTTAAATTTCTTTAATACCTTTAATGCTCTTTTCCAATTGCGTAAACTTTTAATTCATAAATTATTTGTTAATAGTCAAACATTAATTTTTCAGATAGCTGTCAATTTTATTACACCTGAGGCTTTGGATAATATCTCTTTATTAAATTTAGACGACATTACAAACATCCAAAATGTATATCTAGGATCCGAGTGTGAAAAGATTTTAGAAACAGAATGTTTAGATTTCACGCAAGAAATTCGTATTAAATGTTTGCAATTTTACAAAACCGCACTTAAAGAAACGCTTAAACGCTTACCACATAAAAATTCTTTTTTGGAACATTTATCATTTTAGAACAAAATATTAAACTTTATAACGAAAGTAAAATTAAAATTAAAGATCTTTCACATATTGCAGCGCGTTTTGAAAATATTAATCTTTCTCGATTCTGAATGGAGAATTTTACCATGTCGATTTATTAACGGAGAAAAGATTCAATTAGCTTCTTTAGAAATAGATCAAATGTGGAAACAAATATTAGACTCTAAAGATTTTAACGGGGAGAAATTATTTCCAACTTTAGAATTTTTAATTGAAATAATATTTTCCTTGCCGCATTCTAATGCCGAAGTTGAGCGCATATATTTTCAATGATTACAGATATAAAAACTAAAAAACGAAACCGGTTATCAAATGAAACTATTTCCGCTATTTGTACAATCCGATCAACCTTTCAAGCCGAAAATATTAATTGTGTGTCTTTTCAAGTCGATCCTAGACATTTGGAATTACACAATAGCCAAAATTTATATTCTGAAAAAAATATGATAGTGATTAAATTTATTCTTTTTATTTTTACGCATAATATATTTGCCTTTTTTATATATAATAACAATATTAAATTCCATACATCTAGCCGATTTTCCTACTTGCTAGTCATAATAATATTATCGTATTATATATTGTATAACAATTGTTTTGTTTTACAGATTTCATTTATTTATTATATATATATTATAATGTTATTATCTTGTGTTGTCTTAGTTCCGTTAAATATGTAATAAATTTAATAATGTTATTTGTGTTACATATAGGGGAAAGTTGGGTAAAACCGAGTAGGCGGGTCAAACCGGGTATAGTTTTGATCGGCACTTTGTACGCCGGAATATACAACCGCCATATTTGTTACTTTTCTTGTGTTGGGGCAAAACCGGGTACTTACACATCTCATGTAATGAAAAGAGAAATAACTGTTATCCTGACTTTTTCTCCTTACAAAAAGCAGTTAGAAACGAAAACTAACATTCAGAAAAAGAAACCACTAAAAAAAATCGTTTTAAGACTTCTAAAGTTAAAAAGTTATATAAGGGAGTTCTGCAGCAATGTCGAACAAGAGGATATCTTTATTTGTGATTTTTGTCAATAGAACACATCTTTATATTGTATTTTGATTAAAATAAATCTAGATTTTGTAATTACACGGTGTTTTGCATATTTTCAAATGGGTACCCGGTTTTACCCTACCGGTAGGACAAAACCGGGTACTTTGACTTCTCCACAAAATCTTGTTATTCTTGGTAAACAAAAATTTTTTTTCCACAACTAGCTTTATTTTCTCATAGTTTAAGGTTCACTAAATACTATTAACGGTCGGCAAAATTTTTTTTACTCTCAGATTTTTTGTAGGGAGACAAATCCAAAAAGGTACCCAGTTTTACCCTACTTTCCCGTATATATTTTATTTTATTTTATTTTATTGATAAACATACATAATATGTAATTAATATAGCTATAATTTCTTTTTATTTCTTAAAAATTAGATGTGATCCTCAATTGATGATTATTTTATGTGTATATTACATTTTTTAATTTCATCTGTCATAAATTTTTTATTTTGTATTTTTGTTATGTATGAATACTGGTGAGGTTTTTGGCAGTTTTCCTTACCCTTGCAACAAATATTGGTATTCTTTCAATAATTTCTGCCATAATAAATTTTATTTATTTTTAATTATATAAAAGTTGTGTATTTTTTTCTTATCTTTCCTTTATCCCTTTTTCAGAGCTTTTATTCTAAAAAATAATCTTCTAAAAAATCAAGAATAATAAATTTTATTTATTTTTAATTATATAAAAGTTGTGTATTTTTTTCTTATCTTTCCTTTATCCCTTTTTCAGAGCTTTTATTCTAAAAAATAATCTTCTAAAAAATCAAGAATTTTATATAAAAATAAATAAATATTTCCTTTAGTTTTCAGACTTAATTTATACTTATCAACTTTAATTATGTATTACTGATTATTAATTATTTATATACATTTTATTATTATGCTAAATAATATTTTATTTTATTTTATAATTGCTGTCTTTTTTAAATTTTATATTTCATATATTATACAATTAAGGGTCCATAATATACTTTATTTTCTGCTAGAACACTACTGTGATGATATAATTTTCATCATACATGCGCGCGCAGGATACCATTTCTGCCATCACTGATTCCACCGTGCAGAGGATTCGTGCAGAGAATTCTTGCAGAAGAAAAATTGCACGCATTCCATTACTCGCGTGCAACACTTGTGGCCAGAAGACTATTCTCGAAGAAAAAGTTTTTGCGAAGATTTTCTGAGAAAGGTGAATCGGGATCCGAAATTTCTTTCTCGTGTGATATTTAGTGATGAATCGCTATTCACACGAGAAGGAATCTTTAATTCGCACAATAATTGAATTAAATTATTGAAGCGATGAGAATCTTCAACTTACCCGACTCAGGAGCTTTCAGACTCGTTGGAACAAGAACGTCTAGGCAGGAATCATAGGGAAACAAATATTGAGTCCAATTTATCTCTCAGACAACTTAAATAGCGCAAATTATGTAGAATTTCTACAAAATACAATGTCAGAATTTTTGAAAGAAATTCCTCTGTTCGAGAGGAATAATATTATTTTTCAACAAGATAGTACTGGACCACACAACGCTAGAGTTGTGACCAATTATTTGAATTGGTAGTTTCTGGCCGATGGATAGGCCGATATGGTCCAATACATTGGCCTGCAAGATCTCCGGACCTCAATCCATTAGATTTCTTCTTATGGGATTACTGTAAAGAGATCGTTTACAGGAAACTTCCTGAAACGATTGATGATCTGGATGCCAAACTTCACGAAGCAATTTAGATCATTGAAGAAAATATGCTGGAGAATGTCCAAATGAATATGTTAAGACGCTTGAGAGCTTGCGTTACGATGGACGGAGGCCACTTTGAGCATTTTCTATAAAAACAATGCGAAGACAAATCCGTCCTTATCAGGGCGATCAAATCTTTTCTCGTTGAACGTTTTTAAACGCAAAACAATTAAGAGAGAGAAAGAGAGAGAGAGAGAGAGAGAGAATTCCGGTCGTAACGTGTATCTTTCATAAATAATAATAGTAAATCGGTCGTATTTATTCCTTGTAGGGTTTTATGCCTTAATTTGTATGAAAACTGATATTTGCGAATGATAATAAAGTACTGCAGTAAAAACAGTAATGTTTCTAATGATATTTATTGTGAAATTGTGAAGTGAGTCTCGTGACGCGTTGCGCCGTCCCTGCCTGCCTGTTGTACCGAATTCGTAAATAGCTAACTATTTTCAATTATAACTCAAAAACTAAGCTTTGGCCAAAATTTTGCAAAAGGAAAAATGGTCTCAGAATTCGCTCAAGAATATGATATTTTAAAGACATCAGGTTGTTTTAAATCACCTTGTATATAGGAAAAAGTAGGGTAAAACCGAATAGGCAGGTCAAACCGGATACCTCTGTTTCTTCGTGATAAGTGCTACTATCTTTGGTTAATTCGTGTTATTAGTTGTAAATTGACGCCATCATTATTTTGAGATGAACCGTGTCCACGTGCATACGATATTTCCTTTTTGGGAGAAATCCAAAGTTTTCGGGCCAAAAAAGATCGATATCGGGGCAACAATCGAGTCGTCTTGAATTTTTTCTACTCAGAACGTCTATTTTGGTAAATGCAGCATTGCATTCTGTATGTATTAGAGAGTATATCGCACTTATTTTGATCATCATTTTGTATGTCGGAATGTATAGCCGCCGTGTTTGTTATTCTCCTCGTGTTGGGGCAAAACCGGGTACCTACACATCTCATATAATGATAAGAAAATTGCCATCCTAACTTTGTCTCCCTATAAAAAGCAGTTGGAAATGGAGACTGCTACTTAGAAAAAGGAACTACTAAAAAAAAAACTTTTTGAGACTCCTAAAGTTAAAAAATTAAATAAGAAGGTCCTGCAGCAATATAGAGTAAGAGGATATCTTTATTTGTGATTTTTGTTTATAGAATAGATTTTTGTATTGTATTTTGATTAAAATAAATCAAGATTGCACGGTGCTTTATATGTTTTCAAATGGGTACCCGATCTTACCCTACCGATAGGATAAAACCGGGTATTTCGACTTTTTCAAAAAATCCTGTTATTTGGTAAAAGATAAGTTAGTTAGTAACCAAATATATTTTTTCAGCAACTAGCCTTATTTTCTCATAGTTGAAGGTCTACTAGAAACTCCTAACGGTCAGTAGAATTCTTTTGCCTTCTAATTTTTTATAGGAAGACAAATCCAAAAAAGTACCTGGTTTTACCCTACTTTTCCCCATATATATACATATATACAGGGTGTCCGACAAGTAAGTATATATTGTTATACGTTTTGTAATAATGCTTAACTAAAATCTTAATAAATTTGATTTTTCATAATAATAATAAAAGATTTGATAATAGTGATACATACTGTTATGACATAGTACATCGAAATAGCCAATACAACACTATTGCCAAGAAGTTCATCCAAAAGAATTAAATTGAAAGTATTATTAACAGATTTCGCCATCCTTTAACCGCCATAGTATCCCGATAAAATCATGCGAATAAAAAAGTGAATTAGAGAAAAAAAGCAAATAATTGCATAAGTGCATTATTATATAAAAATATAACTGTAAGCATTCTTACCACATTATTTTGAGATGCATTCGAACAAAATTACGAATTCTATTTACCACTATATCTTGTGAGTATGTTCTGACACTTCTGATACGGTACGATAAAATGGATAATTCGCCACAAATGTGGAACACTAAAATAACTAATAAACAAATCGCCGCCATGTGACAAATAGAGGCGTAAAACATCGGGAATAAGTACAAATACATTAATATATATGTATAACTATTAGTAGTATCGACAAATGTATGGACTCTGTAGGGTAACATAAAAGATTCTGTATCATTACGTAACACTGAAAAAAACATTAAGAGAATAAAAATATTTCATATTGTATAAAAAGTAAATTTGTAGTATACAGTTGAACAGTACATAATGACTAATGATTAATAATTACCATTTTTATCTATTATTTTACAATGACAGAGTCTTTAATTACGATATGAATTTAGTAAACCAAAATAATTTATATATCTTTAATAATATTATTCAAAATATTTAAATATCGTAGATACAATACATTTACACTCTCTTTCTTATAATAATTAATTTAATAAATTTTGTATACCTTGATCGCTAGTTGAGAAACGCAAAAGCGGTCTAAAATACAACAACATAACCGTAATGAACATGCCGACAATCGAGCCATATGTGAATATCTTGGACGTATAATTGTAATTATAGTAAATCCTTTCTTCTTCAGAATTTTCAAATTTGCGTTCCATCATATCCTTTTTAACCGCATTGATTAGATGCTTCAACAAATTACTACAGCGAATCAGCCACATTACTGTAAATGTCATAGTATATGCTACTGTTTCCACGAGATTCATCACCATTAGCTCCAGATTACCAAAAACATCATAAAAATCGGTATATGCCATAACGAGATATAGCATATAATATGATATATAAATTACAAAACGGATATATGTCCGTTTGAACGGCCATATTCCTCCGATGGAGAAAATACGTTCTAAATGGATAAACAAATCTTCAATATCGCCGATTTTGGTCTGTAATACAATTTTTATAACAGAAATTGTTGGAAATAATACAATAGTTAGAGATCACGCTTTAAAAAATATATATTAGAACAGTTATGCAACGATACTAGGTAGGAAACTGTCAAATAAGAGCCGAAACGCGGTCGTTAGTGCGCAAACTTTTGGTTGTTTAATTTCATTGACAAATATGCATTAAATATGTTCGTTTTGGGCTGTTTTTTGGTCCATTTTCAGCATAGACACACACACACACAGCAATATATAAAAATTAATTTCATATTCAAACCTTAACATGTTTGACGCACAAATAAGTAATCAGGCTAATCAGAATAAACATTATACATAACGTCATCTTCCAAACAAAACCACTTTTGTATGAGCAATTTGTTTGTACGTAGGCGGTCCGATAATAAAGGTTAGTTGATTATGCGTGGTCTGTGCGCGCAACTTCGAAGTCACAGGCATGTATTGTTACAAAAGGGAAAAGATTAATAGCCATACAAGCCTTGTTATCTTCTATCCATTGATCAGAGTTTAACAAGCAAATAAAATGGCCGATAGGATTGAAAATTATTCCAAATTCGAGGTGCGCGCAATTATCAGAATTTTGCAAGCAGAAGGCGTGAATGAAAGTGAAATTCATCGTTCGATTAGTGAATGTTTATGGCCAGAATGTTTTAAGGTAGTTGTCTCGCGACAGTACAATCCAAAATTTTATACTCTGAGTCAACGTTAAAACATTCGACTACCTACAGTTATCGATTGAAAACTTTTGGATATTCTGTACTATTTCTGTCTATTGCCAAATCAATGCCCGCAACGTTCGCGAGCATCATCTGTCTTTGTTTAACTTTCGGTGAACAACAAGGATGAAAAGATATCGCGAGGTCTTTTTATTATTGTATTTCTAGAACTAAATGGTCAATAATCTCGCTTTTTTTAAAATAGAATTCCTAAAGTATCCTTCTACTTTGTATTAGTTCTTCATTGTTTTCTTGTTATTTTTTCTAATTATTAAAATTCAAAATACGAGATTTTCGTACGTTTTGCATATGCGACACGTATAAAAAGTACAATTTTTGATAGCAATTATCTCACGTTCGGGACAGTCAATTGCTTTTAAGTTGTACAAACGTGTAGATACTATATTTATTAACATATAGTTAAATTTTCAAATTTTTCTTATTAATTTCGATTTGCGAGACATCTACCTTAAGCCGAACGGTACTTCTTTGAATTTGTTACACCACATACACTTCTTTTCGGCTTAAAACATTCACTAACATTCATAAAAATTCACTAATCTAATGATGAATCTCATACTCAGATTTACACTTTTTGCTTGACAAATCTGGTAACTGCCACACTTCAAACTTGGAAAAATTTTCAATCATACCGGCCATTTCGTTCGCTTGCCAAACTCCGACCAAAGTGAATAGGAGACAACGGCACGGCTACTATTCCTCTCTCTCTCATGCAACAATACATACTCATAACTTCGAAATTGCGTGTAGAGATCACGTATAACCACAATACCTGTACCTTTATTATCGGATCACTCACATATTATTTATTATATAAATTTGATCATTTGTTTTGAAATTAGATATTATATTTATACACACACACACACACACATTATACAGGGTAGACCATTTTAATCAATCCACGCGAATATTTCGAAAACTGAGCCCGATAGACAAAAATGTTTCAGACAAAAGTTGCATGGTTTCGAGGGGCCACATGATGAAAATATGGACTTGACCTTGAGTGACCTTTAGTGACCTTTAGTGACCTTTTCAAGGCCAGGTCAATGTGATCGATGTTTTCTTAAATAAAACTTCCCATTTTTATTGCATATTCTTATAGCTTATCTCGAGAGCTTTTCAAAACGCTATAATAAAGTATTTTTTCATTAAGTACTTTTTGAGTTATTTTATATTTTAATCTGACATATTTTGATATAAAAAATAAAATATCTCGTAAAATATTTAGTTTTCGATAATCTTACCGTAATACTTTTATGTACAGAATAATGAGACAAATCAATTAGTATAAAAAAATAATTGTTTTTAAGAAAAGTATGTAATTATTTACAATGTATTTTTTTAAACAATTATTTGGTTTTTTTTTAGGTAAGCTACAAGAATATGCAATAAAAAGTAGGGTATTCCATTTAAGAAAATAAAGTTGATCTCTATATGGCCTTGGCATGTTCACTCAAGGTCAAACCAATGACACCATCTTATGTCCCCCTTCGGACCAAACAACTTTTGTCTGAAACGTTTTTCCATATCTTTCATATTTTTCGAGATATTTGCCTAGGGCGATTAAAATGAAACACCCTGTATATAAATAAAGATTGTTTTTTTACTCTAGTAATACATCGTAAAATATCTTTGTAGTAAAACATTAACTTCTTACTTTCATGGCAAATCGAATAGTAGTTATTCATCAACTGATAGTCCGTAACAACGAGTCGTTTTGTTACGATCCACCGTTAGACTTATATGTCACGATTATCAATGCGTAATGGTTAAGATGTAAATCTGGAGATTAGACATGCATTTGTGTAATGCTTATTTTATCAATCTGTTATTTTTTAGATTCGATATATATATACATACATGTGTGTGTGCGTGTGTGCATGCGTGCGTGCGTGCGTGTGTGTGTGTGTGTGTGTGTGTGTCTGCTTGATATTTAACATAACAACCTCGTCTAATAGCTCGTCTGCTATTAGACTGTTATTAACCATAATTTTTCTTATCGCATCAATTATCTTACCGTCTCATACAATCAAAAGCAAACCCGTACTTTTGTTTCTTATATTCTATGCCTTTCATCTTCTTATAACCACATTGCTTAAAAAAATTGCGAGTGCTTTTAACATTAGTATAAACAGTCATTAAACTTCTCAAATGTTCCAATAAATACTTAGCTATATTTTCCACGTAATTATTTCTGTAAACTGCGTAGAATGCAATTATTTTATACTTTTCGTCAATTAGAGAGAAATGTTCTGATTATAATGATCGATGGAGCTTAGAAACTTTATATCTATTTGTCTATTACTTGATCGATTTGTAATAGCTGTTGTCTAGTGGACTCCACGATTCTTTTCTTGTTTAAGATTCAAGCTCACGATTTTTGAAAAAACTATAAACATCAAAAATGCATTAAGCAATGGCGAGTACAACCACTCAAGAAAATATAAGCCTAAAACACCTGGATATCTTAAAATAGTATAATGTCGGAGACTGCAGCATCCGGTTGCACTTAAATTTTATATTTTAATGCCAACCAAGTGATAGCAGAGTCTAGGAAAAACTGATACTTTCTTACTGCAAGCAGCTTTATAAATCGTAAAAAAGCAATGAAACGAAAGGCAGCTACCAAAAAAAAACGCATGTAATCACACGAAACCGCACGTGCACTAGGATTAGGCTAGCAAACACAACACACACATACATTATCATAAACTCAGATAGACAGTAAAAGTTAACCCCTTTTATAACGAATGCCACCGCCGATTCCGAGAACCCTAGAATTTCTTATTTTGGAAAACGCTCTTCTATTTGTAGACAAATCCAACAACATTCTGATTTATTACATTTTTTTTTAATCATTCAACAGTGGGTGTAAGAAAGTCGTGAGAAGACCTAACAAAAATTTCTATTTGTTAAATATTCTTACGATCTAACGGAGGGCATAAACAAAACCGAGTATATAAGCAGATACTTTCATCAAGAAAGTAAAATAAGTGAAGAGTAAGTGAGCAGTGTTTTATTGTACTACAGTACGCACGATTTTATCCGTAATTGTACCGGTATATTTATCCCACTCTTTTTCCATGTATGTTCTGATTTAACATATATAGCTTCAAGGATTCTTATTCGCGCCATGCAATCACGCTATCGATCAGAAATTGATT